AATCTCCTTATTTAACATAAATATCAGAATAATCTTAAAGGTCTGAAATGAGAAAGATGCTGACTTTTTTATTTTAACAGTGTACTTCTTAGGCTCTCATTACCAGCTCTAAAAATCTTTTTGGAATAATTCCATATTCCCGTATGTGGTTTGTGTGAACTGTGTGTTTCATCACTCACCTAGATGGCATGAGAAATGTGTTCTCCCCTCTCCCTCGCTCTCTCCCCCTTCTCTTTTCTCTCGCATATATATAAAGTGTTTGGTAGGCCAGTAGCAGTGTTATGTTCAAAGTCTACTTTCTGAAAGACCATTAATGAAAACAGAATGTATAGTTGACCAGAAATTAAATGGAAATTAGCAAATTCGGTTAACGTAGCCACTATTAATTTAGGTTTTGCCGCCAAATAATGCTGTAAAGCTAAATCACTTTAAAACTCTTGGATGAAAGGTGCTACATAATGTAAATACAAAGGATTCTTACTAAAATGCAAATATTATGCAACACATTTAAAACCTATTCTCTAGACTTAGTAAGATCTCTCTCCATCATGACTCCCTAGATTCGAGTATCAAATTGATAATGGGTATCATGGCAGTCTAGAGACACTTGCATGTAAAAAATGTAAATTCATTTTTAGGTAGATAAATGGAAAATATAGAAATTATGTTTTAGCTAAAATACAGTAAGTAGGTAACTTAGATTTATTATTAACTAGCTTCTAATTTGCACAGCTAGGACACGTCCCAGGACAATTACCGAAAGTTGAAATTAATGAGTAGGAGGTGGCCCAGTGAGGGTGAAAGGTATCACAGTTTGACCTCTCCAGGATACTAATGTCCTAAAATAAAGAACCTGCTAACTTAAGCAGTACATTATTGCTTCAAGTAGAAAATGCTAAGGGCAAGCTATAAAGTACTGAATCTGAGTAAGCTGACCATGAGAAAGCCCAGTTAAAGCAACATCCAAGGGAACATTTGAGACTGTAAAAGTAGGAACAGTCTCAACTATGTTGATCCCCTTTTTCATAACATTTCAAAAAAGAACTAGATAATAACTACATGAATATTTTACTTTCTCAAAAATATATCATTGGAAGCAAACTTAGCAGGAAGTCACTTTTTCCTTAAACTACTCTGCCAAACAAAATATGGCTAACTAGAAAGTAACTGGGGCCTTTCTGACTGGGGTCTGACATGCTTTTAATTATCTGACTCTATTCTAAATCTACACCTAACCCCTCTACCCCACCCCACCCCTCCAGAAAAACACTGAAAAATTCAATATACAGGGTAAGAGCTTCGGCCCAGAACTACAATAAAGTGCTTCAGATCTGGCCAGGTGGAAATTTTGACCCAAGTTTTTGAACTGGTGGTTACCAAAGAGTTCACAAAACAGGTTTGTATGCAGCACCTTTCATGCAAGGCATGGTAAGAGCCTATTTAAAAATCACTGTGCATATTACAGAATTGCAGCCACCTCACAAATGAAATATTACAGCCTGCACTGTCTTAACAGTTTATGTCAGGAAGTGAAAGATACTGTACCAAATCTGGAATTATAGTGAATGATATAATGTATGCTAAATGACTTGTATTTTAAGTTACTTAGGAGAAAAGTGGTGAGTTTTTGTTTTTATTTTCTGTTACACTTAGTCCTGAGATGTATTTTTTCTTTAAGCCTTGAATGAATAATACAGAAGGAGCCCATTTTATAATATAAACCTTGATGTACATGTTGAAATATTTGGACAATGAAAATGCCTTAAAAGGAATGCTGATGGATAAAGTTGCACTTATAACACCGTTTAACAGAACTTGATTATAAATTGTCTTTTTCTTTTCTACTAAGGGTTCTCTTTCAGTGTTTGCCATTGTACTTAAAACTGTTATTAAATACCGAGTCAAATAATATAAACGCTATAACATTTCCTTTCAAAGTAATGCTACTGAAGGATTTGGAGTTAACTAGCAAAATGTTTGGCAATACCTAATATCAGCCACAGAAATCCAGTTTATAACAAGAGAGACACCATTGTTTATCTTTTTTAAAACATTCATCATTTTATCATTTTAGTTTTTAACTTTATTCTTTTTAATTAGGTTGGTTTAACATTTGCTTATCAAACTGATATAGAAAGAAATAAAACAAAGGTGATTTTTATAACAAGTGGTTAGTAATCATTTAAAATTTTTAAAATATGACTTAGCCAAGTATTATTCTTTCCTTTTCCTTTGCCCTGGAAGACCCATTTTCAGACATAACCCATAATCTTTAGATGATTGTGTCCTAATAATTTGGGGATGGGCATTGGAGGTTTGGGGAGAAAGAGAAGAGAGTATCTGTTGTCAATCCCAAAATAGGTTTAAATACTTATACAGCCCTGGCTAGGTAGCTGAGTTGATTAGGGTGTTGTTCCAAGAAGCTAAGGTGGCAGGTTCAATCCCAGGTCAAGGCACATACAAGAATCAACCAATGAATCATAAATAAGTAGAACAACAAATCGGTATTTCTCCCCCTGCCCTTTCTCTCTCTAAAAAAAAAAAATAATAGATTGTACAAATTAGTATCTCTTTTTCACTCATAGCCATTGGAAGCAGATGTTAGAGATGGCAACCAGCCTTAAGCAGGTCAGTCTTTCTGTGCCTGTTTCTATCATAAGTGGGGAAGGGCAGTTAGACCACTTATCTAAGGTCCTCAGTGTCTTTGATTCTGTTCATTAAACTTTCATTTTATATGCAAAGCAACTTAACATTTACTGCTACAGATACAGTACAGAGTAAGGAAAAACTAACACGACAATTCCAAATAAGGTTATTTATGAGAAGTTTTTTGTTTTTTTCTTTATTGATTTTAAGAGAGAGAGGAAGGAAGAGGGAGAGAGAACCGTTGACTAGAAAACATCAATTGGCTGCCTCCTAGCATAGCTCCCCCCCCCCCCCCCCCCCGGGGATTTGGCCCACAACCTGGGCATGTGCTCTGACTGGGAATTGAACCAGTGACCTCTTGGTGCACGGGTTGATGCTCAGTCACTGAGCCACACTGGTTGGGCATGAAAAGTTTTTCTTACTAACTCCACACCTTTTAAATCTGTTCTATATTTTATAAAAAATTCTTTCATGAATAGACTTGTAGTTTCTAATCATATATCAAGAAATGGCGTTTTTACTTTACTTTGTTTCTTAGTAACACAAATTAGTATAAATTAAGTACAGTATCTCTACCAGATGGAAATTATTTTTTGAGTGATCAAACTTAGAAGAAAATGAGAATTTTCATGACAAGACCTGTGAACTGTTTTTGTAGTATTCTACCCAGACCCTCAACTGATGAAGGGTATTGTTTGAATTTAAGTGAGATGGAAAAAAATGTCCATTTTCCTCACTCTTTTTTTTTTTTAATCCTCACCCGAGGATATTTTTCCATTTTTTTTTTTTTCAGATAGAGTGGGAAGGAGAGAGAGAGAGAGAAACATCGATGTGAAAGGAACACATCAAGTGGCTGCCACCCACACGACCAACCAGGGCCGGGGACAAACTGCAACTGAGGTACATGCCCTTAGCGGGAACCGAACCTGGGTCTCTCGGGATCGCAGGCCGATGCTGTAACCGCTGAGCTTAACTGGCAAGGGCCTCACTCTATTTTTGAATTACTTTCTATGTCACAACTGACAATACATAATCCATATGCCATAATTGAGAAGGGATGAGTAAAACTCAGTTTATTCTAGAAGACAGAAGAAACTTGTTCATGTTCACATTTCTAACCTTTAAACAAAGACTATACAAATCATTTGTGTATATTCTAGTTCTGAGTTTTATTTCAATGTTATAACAAAAGTTTTTAAATATTTTTTATTGGTTTTTTAGAAAGAGAAACATCAGTGGGCTGCCTCCTGCATGCCCCCTACTGGGGATTGAGCCCAAAACCCTGGCATGTGCCCTGACATGTGCACTAAATAGAACTGGGACCTCTCAGCCCATGGGACGATGCTCACCAGCCAGGCAGATTATAAAATTTTTTAAAGATACACTTTCATAAAAAGTTAGTTGCCCTGGCCAGTGTGGTTCAGTGGTTAAAGTGTTGGCCTGAGCCAACATCCCCTTTCACTCTCTAAAAATCAGTGGGAAAAAATATCCTCAGGTGTGGACTAACAAAGTTAACAAGCTTATTTTTTTCACTGGGAAAAAAAACAAAACATTTAAAAACACACACCCAGCCTGGCCAGTGTGGCTCAGTGGTTGACTGTCAACCCATGCACCAAGAGGTCACTGGTTCGATTCCCAGTTTGGGCACGTGCCCAGTTTGTGGGCCAAATCCCAGTGGGGGGTATGCCGGAGGCAGCCAGTTGATGTTCTCTCTCATCAATGTTTCCATCTCTCTCTAAAAGTAATAAAGAAAAAAAAACCACACCCAGTAATGGAAATGTTTAGCTTTTAACCCATATTTGTTTGAATTATCTTGCTGGAAGTTTTTATTCCTTAATCTTTATTCCCCCAAAATATATATTTTATATATTCTTATATATAAAAGGAATATATTCTTATATTCCTTTTAATTTTCCCCTACATGTACACTATCATGTCCATAATTTCATATATGCTGTTTTGCCACTTTAAAAATTTTTTTTTACCCTTTATTGATTTTAGAGAAAGAGGAAGTGAGAGGGAGAGAGAGCCCTACACTGGGGACTGGGCCCACAAGCTGGGTGTGTGTCCTGACCAGGAATTGAACTGGCAGTCTCTTGGTGCATGGTTTGACGCTCAACCACTGAACCACATGGGCCAGACGCCACTTGCTTATTTCAAGTACAATCAACACCCTAACAAAGATGTATGATGATTAATCTTAGTTAACTAATCTTAGTTTTGATGTTTATTATTAATTTTTTAAGGCATTTCTGTAGTGAGTTGTGAGGAATGGAGGATAGTGGAGGGGGATCTGAGCTAACATTACCATAACACATCTTTTAAAGAACATTTTTAAGATGAATAATCCCTCCTAAAATGACTTAAGTAGTCACCAAACCAAGCTGCTAAATGTTTTTATCACTTTTAATAAGAACAACAGCTTTCAGATATAAATGTACTCTAAATATTAGCTCAATTACTTGCTTTTATCAAAATTTAGTATTATGGGATCATGTCCTGTCTTCTTCACAAATGTAAGAAAGTCTTCAGGGCTCAATCCCATGGTTGCTGCATTGGTCATTGGATGAAAGTACACCTTTTCATGTCCACCTTCCACAAAAGCAGAATCCAGAACAAATTTCACATCTCCATCGTCACAGAATAGTGCCAAGGGCGTGGCACAGCCTTGGCCAACTTTTAGTTTTTCTAGCATGGCTGTTTCATCAGCAAACCGTAGATTTCCACTCCCAACACCTAACTGCTTGGCTAGATCATTTAAATTAACTTGTCTGTCATGAAGAACTGTCACCAGCCAGTAGCCTTTTTTCTTTTTGTCTTTTAGAAATAAGTTCTTACTATGTGCTCCTTTCAGGTGTTGGATATGAGGCATCATTTCTTCAACTGTAAACACCTGTAAAATATCACAAGAAATTATAAAATAACATGCATGTATACACACACACACACACTACAAACATACAGTTAAACGTATTCTGCTTGCTGGATGAAAACGGTAAGATTAGAAAGTACTCAGTGCCCTGGATTTAACTGGTAGATGAAATAATTATAAACCTTTACCATCTCAATTCCTCCTATCAGGACCTCAAGTAGTTTCTCTTAGGTCAGTTCTCTATTTCAGAGTGCTGACCAAACCCTCATATTCTTAAAATGCTTTTTGTTTTATCTTTAAACGTTGAGATTGAAAGTTTTAAGTGCCCAGACTCTTTAGCATTCCATTACATCCAGATCTGGTGACAACCTCCAATCTACAAATATGTAACCACCATCTGCGAGAATGGGCAGGAATGAGACCCTGGACTAACAGAGACTATCAGAAAACTGGCAACATGCGCAGGTATAGAAGGGGGAGAGTATGTAGACTACATGGGAGGCAGAAGATCAGAGAAAATGATAGTTTTGATGTTAAATCTGTAAAGTTGAGTGAGACTTAAAGTACTTCTCTACCCTTTGAAGATTACCATAGTACCATTAGCTGTTAATGACAGCTTGGGCAAAAAAATTTATGTCCCCGCAGGTCTCAAGTTACCACTGGTTCCCTGAAATATTTGCAAATCTTTATACACACTAGTGTTAAAAAGACCCAAACTCTAAACTTGGTGCATGATGCCCGGTACATTGTAGGCACTGCAGAGTCGGTTTACTGCTTGGTGACTTCTTTTAGCTACACATTAAAGTGGACAACACTCCACACCAGTTTAAGATGCACAAGTTCTCAATACTTTACCCCAATTCGCAACATGAAATGTGATCAAATACAAGAGGAAAACAAGTTTTCTCACAATAACAATCCAAAGTCGAGAGGCCTTTGATGTTGCTGTCGGGCCCCTTCCGTACTAGACTCCAGGATGTGCCCTAGAACCTACGTTTCTGCGGCACATCACCCCGGGACCGGTGGGTTTTGCGGCCTCGCCCGACGGCCGCTGCACCGGCGCCCCCCACCTCCAGCCCGGCGGCCCCGGCGTAGCGCCTCACCTCGGGGTGCTCCAGGACCTCCGTGCGGATGGCGAGGGCGTCGAGCCGCTGTTCGAGCGCCGCCCGCAACTCGGCGCCGGCCATGCTGCTGTCGTGGGGGAGGAAGTGCCCGGCGTCCACGGAGGCTGGCGGAAGTGCCCGCAGGGACCGAGGCCGCCGGAAGCCCAGGGGCGGTGCCTCCTGCGCGCGTCTCGCGCGGTTCCTGAAAGCTGCGCGGAGGCAGCGGGGCAGCACCTGCAGAGCTCCTTCCCCGGGGCCACCGATGGCGCCTGCATTCTCCTAGCCCTCCCCGACCCCGCTCCTGGTTCCTGCGCCCCACGTTGGCGATTCTAGTAGAGTCAGAGCAGGTAGCAAGGTTCGGTTTAGGGGATGTGGAAGTCGGTCATGGAGAGGACCTGACCTCGGTAAACCCCGAGCTGATTGGGGCCATCAGAGGCCCCACCCACTACCCTATCCAGGGAACTACGGTCCTCCCACCGTGCCGGGTCTGGGAGCCACCTGGAGGAGGCAGCCTTGAAAGAGTACTATGTGGGGACCATCTGGACAGTGTAGGTGGCTGATCCACGTTAGGGCCTCTGTATAAACTCTTAAGAATGTGGATGGAGATCTCGTCTTGCAGGCACCCAAGACAAACCGCCTAAGGAAGTCCCCTTGCTTATTAAACCTTTCTCCTTCCGATATGGAGGGGCCTGCCTCTTGGTCTGCTTATTCTCTGTGTAGGCGACCAGCTTGGGATTTTACCAGGGAAACTCCCTGAGTTTGCGAACCACCACGGAAAGAGGAGGGGGCCAAAATCCCTATCCTTTTAAGACTTCTCAACTTTTAATTTTTAAATTACAATTTTACACTTTACCTTTTTTGAATGTTAATATCTGTTATTATTCATTTGCGAATAATTAGCTGTGGCAACCAGGACCCGGCTTTTTCAGAAGCAGTTTACCTACCTCTTGGTGGGGTGTTTTCCAATATCCTTCGAAACTGTCACTCACCCCTTAAATGAAGCCTGAAATTTCACGTTAGAGTTTCACTTACAAGTTTAGATTAAGCTTCAAATCCCAGATAAGTGTAGATAATCCTAGAGACATTTAACTCTAGTGTGAATAAATTTAGTGTAAATTGAAGGCCTTTTCAAAAGACTGCCAAGTATCTGAGTCCTCACCTGCATAACACCTTGGAGGAAATTTAAAAGAGAAGGAAATCAGAGCCCACTTCACAATTTCATCCAGAAATGGCTTTGGATAGCACAATAATAAAACTTCTGTTTAACCCACCTCTTAAAACTATTAAGCCATGTTTCCTACTAATTCTTATTTCACCTAATTCTTTGCTCTCTGGTTATAGGACCAACAACAGGCTACTTACTTCCCATGGCCACCTAAATTCAGGTCAATAACAAAAGCAAACACTACATTACAGTGTTTAGGAGACAGACAAGGGAGAAAGCTTTACTCTGAACATTTTTTTCCATTTTATTTTCCATTTGTGAATTAGCTTTGTCTATGCCTTGACTCATTTAGCCACTGATTGTTAATGGCTTTCACATTCAATCTATTTTTTATTAACCCTCTACTCATTGATTTAATATTTACATTGCATATAAGGTATAGCAGGGCTCATTTTTAAAATTAGATTTCCCTCTAAAAATGAAAGTAGAAATCAATAGAATAGCAAGGATCACACATTTGAAGATAAGGCATATCCCAAATGATTGTCCTTAAATATTTGAAGATGTCAAAGAATATCCAAATCCAATCATGGTGATTTGAGTGTAAACAGGGAAAGAAGAATTGGAATCTGATTGTAACTAAGTAATGTAAATTATGTCCAAAAGTAGGAAAACATTAACCATGGGTAAGATCTCTTTGATAGCTACCAAAGAAGAATGAAAAAAGGTAAAATTGGCAGTGGCATCCAGCACATTATCTAGGCAATCGGGTGTTCTGACCTACAAATCTTTTGGGGATTGAACTGCCATCCATCGGTTATGCAAGGCATGAATCCCTCCCCCAACCCCAAGTCTACTCCCCACCACCACCAGTCACCCCATAGCTAATCATCCATCATAGTTGTTTCTCAAAACCTTTCCTTTCTCAGCACCTCCATTACCCAAGCCCAGCGATTTTCAACTGGTGTGCTGCAAGAATTTTTAAAACATACAATACCTATTTAGTCAGGGGCACTGACCTCTTTTCCCTTAGATTGTCAAATTAAAAAAATGAAAACAGCCAGCAATAGCCCTTCCACATGAATAAATAGAGTCGCATCATACTGGTCATGTCACATAAAAAGGTTTCATCTGATTGGTTAACTCTTGGTATCAGAAATCCTTATATATAAGTATAGGCACCTGATTTTTTTTTTATCCTCCCCTGAGGACATTTTTCCATTTTTTGTTCAGACAGAGTGGGAGGGAGAGAGGGGAAGAGAGAGAGAGAAACATCGACGTGAAAGGGACACATCGAGTGGCTGCCACCCGCACGACCAACCAGGGCCGGGGACAAACTGCAACCGAGGTACGCGCCCTTAGCGGGAACCGAACCTGGGTCTCTCTGGACCGCAGGCCGATGCTCTAACCGCTGAGCAAACTGGCCAGGGCTAGGCCCCTGATTTTTTAAAAAAATCACTTAGGAACAAAAAGAGTAGGCAATTTTTCTTTTTGTAAATCAAAATTATACCTTTTTTTTTTTTTTGTCAGTTTGGCAAAAAATATATTTTTTAGTGTGCTGCATAATTTTAGTAGTTATTTATGTGTGCCATGAGATGAAAAAGGTTGAAAATCACTGCCCTAGCCCAAACTACTTTCATTTTCCCCCTGATCTAGACTAATGTTCTCTGAATTTTAGTCTACCTGTTGTTGAATGACCAAATATCCTGCTTTACACTAATCTTACAATCAAAGATTTTTATTATAAAACAGAGCTAAATCTGTCTATGGTTAAATTACTTTATGTCACTGTTAAAAAGAAAAACAACTATCCTAACCCAAGTTCAAAGCAATATTTATTTGTCAGCATTGTACTGAATACAAAAGAAATGCTATCCATGTCTTTGTCCTCAAAGCAAATACAATTTCAAATTTATATTGGAACCAAAACATGAAACAGATTCAATTTAAATTATCAGCGTGAAATTGAGGAACTAGATATTTAGTCACAGAACTTGAATATGAAATCTCATGATTCTAGGAGAGGAGTGATAAATGCAGGTTGCCATTAGGAAGGGTGTGGATACTTAACAGGTAAGAACAGAACCTGGAAAAGAGATCTGGAAGATGGAATTATGCCAGAGTTCAGGACAAGGGACTCATGTCTGCTCAAAGTAAAGAAACAGCTACGTATTCTGCTGAGCAAAATAAGCCAGAGAGCCCTGGCCGGTTTGGCTCAGCGGTTGGAGCATCGGCCTGCGGTACAGAGAGACCCGGGTTCAGTTCCCGCTAAGGGCATGTATCTCGGTTGCAGTCTGTCCCTGGCCCTGGTTGGTCATGCGGGTGGCAGCACTCGATGTGTCCCTTCACGTCGATGTCTCTCTCTCTCTCCCTCCCTCCCGCTCTATCTGAACAAAAAATGGAAAAATGTCCTCGGGTGAGGATAAAAAAAATAATAATAAGCCAGAGAAAGACAAGTACCACATGATTGCACTTATTTATGGAATATCATGAACAAAATAAGCTGTCGATCAAAACTGAACCAGAGACATGGAAGTAGGGAACAGACTGACAAACCTCAGGGGGAAGGGGGGTGAGGGGGATGGAAGGTTAGGAAGAGAGAAACAAAAACACTTACATGCATAACCAATGGACACAGACAATAGTTTGGGGAAAGCAGGAAGGGAGTGGGAGTGGGGAGGAGGGGGTCAATGGGGGGGAAAGGGGAAACATCTGTAATACTTTCAACAATAAAGATTTTTTAAAAATGGAATAAAAATATTTTTAAAAGAAACAACTACAACTGTAGCCTACCTGGGAAAGAAAATAAAAAGGCCAAAATTATAAAATATTTGTCAACACCAAGAGGATTGGACATCATTGCATTTATTAGATGAAGAATGTTAGAAATCCCTACTATTAAGTGAAACACAGGGCAATTCCAGAGCAGGTGAGTTGAAAACCAACCTAAGAAACTGTGCATACATAAAAAGAAAGCAAGATCGCCCTGGCTGGTTTGGCTCAGCGGTCAGTGTCAGCCTGCAGACCAAAGAGTTGTGGATTTGATTCCGGTCAAGGGCATGTACCTTGGTTGCAGTTCCGTCCCTCAATTCCAGTCAAAGTTTTGTCCCTGGCCCTGGTTGGGGTCATGCTGGAGGCAGCCAGTTGTGTGTCTCCCTTCCTCCCTTCCTCCCCTCTAGCTAAAGATAAATGGGAAAAAAGTATCCTTAGGTGAGGACTGGAAAAAAAAAGAAAGCAAGATGTTGAGGGTGGGGTGCGGGGATGCTAGCTGCAATCTGTGTGCCATGCTTTCTCCTCTCAAGGACCTTAAAAGCAACCAAAGAGAACTGAGACATTCACGGGATAAATCCAAGAAAAACATGCCTAGTGCAATGATAGTAGATGCCAGAGGAAGGGCACTAAGCAGACTGGGGTGCATCAAGGAAAGCATTAGAGGAAGATGATACCAGTTTGAAGAATAAGCAGGAATTTGCCAGGAAAAAAACGTTCTCCAGCTGAGGAAACTACAGGAACTGAGGGATGGAGGCAGGAAAGCACAGTGTGTCCTGGGCATTATGATTTGGTATGAATAGTAAAGCAAAATGAGAGGTCTGTTAGCAGGAGACAAGGCTAGAACTCAGCAAAAGGTCTTACCTGCTATCCTAAGAAATGAAGGATATCCCACCATGAAGGGGTATATAAATCAGATGACATCTTCCTAGGGAATTCTATATCCTCAGTCATACTCTCAATACTCAAGGCTATAGGGAAATACTATTCACTAAATGGGGAAGATGAATTATAGAAGAGTCCTGTATAAACAATATAGCCCCAATTTTGCTTCAAAACACACAGACCTGTATAACAGAGTAACTAAAAAACAAACAAACCAAAACACCGAATTAGTATTAGCATCTTCTTTCCCTAATCCCATTCCATGAAAACTGGTTTCACCTAAAGAGGATTCATCCCAGGACAGGA